TGATGATGTTTATGCTGTTACCGTATATTACTTTTTTATTGCATACTATTTCTGTTGCAAATAGTCATAAATATTGTCGTAGTTCGACTGCGTTATGACAGGTTGCTCTAAGTAGTCTCACGTACACTTTGGGTTGCAGGGCTGAGCAATTTGCATTTTTCCTTCCACGTTTCTCCCGCTGTGTGTTCTGCCCACGCGCAGTGACGGCACCTCATTCCTCCCCTCCCTGTGGTCTTGACCTCTGCAGCGTTTTCTTGTCGGTGGGGGCCTCCCCCGTCCTGTTTGAACCTTTTCAGGGTTGCGGGTTTCAGGGCCCGCCCTTGGGTGCTGGCATTGCCGTTCAGCCCTGCATCGCGTCTGGATGTGGGCCCTGGCACACGATGGCTGTGGACATCAGAAGCTAGAATCTACAGAATGCTCCAGGCACAGGGCCTGGCTGTGGCTATTCCAACAGTGGGAAGCAGGTTGCCCCACTGGCCTGGCTCCGGCTGCTGTAGCAGGTGACTCTGTCCACATGGTGGGCCTCCAGATGGCACACGGCGCTCTGCTGCCCCACTTCTCAGACAGCCAGTTGGTGCCAAGGCCCTTTGCTTCCTTTTCTTCCCCTCCGTCCGTCATGGTTTCTCTGAGATTCCAGGATGAACCAGGGATGCTGCCGCTATCGTGTGCTGCTGTCACATAAGACAGAGGCCGTGCTGTCTTTGTTAGTGCACACCCAGGTCGGCTCACCTGTCGGGTGCATGGCCAGCCCCAGTTCAGCCACTGTTTCTGCCCATATTCCACCTGTGAGGATTGTTGGGTGAGGCTGGGCAGCGGGAAAATCAGAATATGGGCCATGCACCTCTGTTGTCTTTGCCTCTCTGTAATGGAGCCACCTTGGGTTGGCTGTACAGCGTTTTTTGGGGTTCACTTTCCTCACAAAGCACTTGCAAAGACAGAGGTGCTGTGTGCAACTCTGCTGTGCTCTGTACCCCTCGCCTGAGACCACAGTTGCTTTCATTGGATCGTTAGCTCTCTGTCCACACTGCGTGGCCCTTGGGTTGCTGCACATGCCTTCTTGTCTCCATTTAAGTTGTTGGTAACCTTGCCTGTGGCCAGGTCATAGCGAAGCTGATGCTGCTGGCCTAGCTGAGCTGTGGTCTGTTGGGTCACTTCGGCAGGAGGTTCCCAGCCCTGGAGCAGCCACTGCTCTTGCCTGGTGTGCGTCACACAGGCACTGTGCGTGCCTGCTGGCTGTGGAGTGCGTGAGGGTGGCAGCCGTACTTGCTGCACTCCTGGGGCTTGCAGGCCAGGGGAGATGGACATGCACAGAAGGCAGGTGTAGGGAGGTGAATGGGGTGTAGGGAGGCGGCGGAGGGCCCCTGCTCGCCAGCCCTCCCTGTCTCCGAGGTGCTGAGCAGGCCACTGAAGAGGGTGCTGCGGGAGCGCTGTGCAGTCTTGTCATGGACTTCACGTGTCAGAGCGGATGCTGGTGTGCAGGCTGTGCATGTGTGCACGAGAAGTTCATACATGAAATAGGACATGCAGGCCTCCTGTGGGAAGGATGAAGTTGTCCCCAGAGTTTGCTGAATAACTGTTACCCCATTCAGAATGGTGCCTCTTGCACCCAATAGGATGGATGTCATAGAAAGAGAGCCCCTCACAAGTGTTAGTGAGGATGTGGAGAGATTGGAACCCTCACGCCGTGCACAAAACAGAGCTGCCCTGTGGCCCAGCAGTTGCATTCCCAGGTGTGTGCCCAGGAGAACTGAGGACCTTGTCCACATACAGACAGGTACAGGGTTGTTTGTGGCAGCATTGTTCATGACAGCTAAAAACATGCCAGCAGCGTGCACCAGCACGTGAGTGAGTGGACAGACAACGCCGTCTGGCCATGCCGTGGGAAAGCACCGGACCCTGAACGGGGGTGAAGGGGGAGTTTGACATGGCAGTTGAGGGGCCTGCGTTCCACGTGGGAGTGCCTGGTGGATTCCTGGCTCCATTCCCAACTCCAGATTCCTGCTAATGCCTGCCGTGGTCCCACAACCCATGTGGGAAGCCCAGATAGAGCTCTTGGCTTTGGCCTGGCCCAGCCCCACCCTTGTGGGCACTTGGAGAGTGACCAGTAGATGGGGAGCCTCCCTTTGTCTGCCAGTCTGCTGGTCTGTGTCTTTCTGCCTTTCAAATAAATAAAATAAATTCAAAAAATTAAAAAAGATTTATTTAGTTATTTGAAAGGTAGAATCAGAGAGAAAGAGGTAAAGAAAGAAAGAGGGGCTGGCGCTGTGGCGTAGCAGGGAAAGCTGCTGCCTGCAGTGCTGGCATCCCATGTGGCTGCCAGTTCGAGTCCCGGCTGCTCCACTTCCCATCCAGCTCTCTGCTGTGGCCTGGGAAAGCAGCAGAGGATGGCCCAGGTCCTTGGGCCTCTGCACCCACGTGGGAGACCTGGAGGAAGCTCCTGGCTCCTGGCTTTGGATCAGTGCAGCTCCGGCCATTGTGGCTATTTGGGGAGTGAATGGCAGATGGAAGACCTCTCTCTCTCTCTCTCTCTCACCTCTGTCTCTCTGTAACTCTGCCTTTCAAATAAATAAATAAAATCGTTTGTCTTTCCTTTGCCTTTTTTTTTTTTAAAGAGAGAAACAGAAAGAAACAGCCTCTGTCTGCTGGTTCACTCCCCAAGTGGCTGCAACAGCCAGGGCTGGGCCAGGCCGAAGTCAGGACAGGAGCTTCCTCCAGGTCTCCCATGTGAGTGGCAGGGGCCCAAGGACCTGGGCCATCCTTTGCTGCTTCCTAGGCCACAGCAGAGAGCTGGATTGAAGTGGAGCAGCTGGGATATGAACCAGCCACCCATACGGGATGCTGGCGTCGCAGGCCGCAGCCTAACCTGCTATGTTATATATAACAGATTTTAAAAATAAAAATAAAAATATTTATATAAATGTATAGTTTATAAATATATTGTAAATAACAGATTTTAAAAAGGAATGAAAGACTGACGTGGTACAGCATGGGTGAGCCTTGAGAACACGCCAAGTAAACGGACGGGTCCCACGAGACTAATGCTGGGTGATCCCTGTTGGGAAGCAACGCCCACTGGAGGCAGATCCGTGGAGACGGAGGGTTAGTGTTGCTGAGGGCGGAGTGTCAGGAGGATGGGCGTGGCTGCTGACAGGTGTTTGGTTGTTTTGGGGGTGGCAGTGAGGGTGTTGTGAGATTAGCTGGTGGTGATCGCTGGCAAGTCCATGACTGTCCCCAGGTCAGCGCTTCATGGGATGTGCACCCTGTTGGCTTTTGCTGGGGACACGTCTAAGAGCATGGAGCAGGCTTGCCCTCAGGAGCTTCCATTCTGGGGGAGGCCAGGAGTGGAGTCAGCCAGTAGGCCTGTGCCCGCCCAGCGAGGAGTGTTACACCGAGCGCCTCCCCAGGCTCAGGGCTCACCCAGTGGGGTTCTCTTCCGTACCGCTCATGGTCCGGGGTGAGCGCTGTTCAGGGGCTCTGCCCAAGTGCTGCTGCTGTGGCTGGGCCTCGGAGGTCCAGAGAGCACCATCCCGGGCCGTTTGAGACTCCGTGTTTCTGGTTTGGCCTCGGCACCCTTGGCGGGTGAGGCACAGGGAGTCTTGTGGGCTCTCATAGCCTGTGTGTGTCCTTAGGAGCAAGGGCCATGGTTGGAATTCTGTGGCGGTCTGCAGCCAGGAAGAATTGGAAATGGAGCTGCAGAGGGCTCTTTGCTGACTGGTTGGAGAGGGAGGGGCAGGCAGGGAGGGAGGGTGCCGCTCAGCGTGGAGCAGCAGCTGGGTGAGCCCTCCATTGGGGTGCACTCCTCCCACCCTGCCTTGGCCGTGGAGTTGATGGGATGGGCAGTTCTCAGGCCGTGGCAGGAGCCCGTGCAGGTCTTCTCAGAGTCCCTTGCTTGGTGGTCCGTTTGGTGCTGGCTGGAGAAAGGCGTCTTCTGCTTGGGCAGCCGGGCACTGGGGGCGTCTGATGGTCCTGTGGTGGGGCAGCTGTAGCTCTGACGGCGGTCAGGAGTCAGCTGTGTTGCCTGCGTGTGCTGTGCCTACCCGGTGGTTTCGGGGCTGGTGTCCGTGTGTGCTTGCGGGCCTGTCCTGCTCAGAGTGACGAGGGAAGTAGAGGGAAAACGGTGCCTTGAAGCTCTTGGAGCTCCGTTCCATCTGTGGCCCGGCTGCCCGGGAGCGCAGAGGACTCGGACCCCCCCGATGCCAGGTGGTGGCCGTGCGTCTGGCTCCTGTCCTTGGTCGGGCCTCTTCCAGGGACACCAATCAGATGCTGAGTCCTGGTGCCTGGTTTCTCTGAAGCCCCCGGCAGAAGTACTGAGCTGTCTGCAATGTCCTTTGTGGGGCTGGGATCCTTACTTCTGCTAATCCGAGTCTCAGTCCTGTGAGGGCCTTACTTTCTCAGGTGTGAACGAATCTGCACGCGACCCCTCACTGGGTTAGAGGGTTTTCATCTCCGGGCCTGGCCTCCCCCACCCAGCCACCTGGCTTCTTTCTTGAGCAATCTCAGCCTCTCCTAGTGCTCCCATTAACTCCTTCCTCTCTGCTGCCCTGTCGGCTCCTCCATTCAAGCTTGTTCCATCCCGGCTCTGTAAGACCAGCTCTGCTTTCCTGGCCGCTTCCAGGGCCCTGCGGGGAGAACAGAGCGCAGTTATTTCTCTGTCCTTGCAACCTGCCCTTCCCGGAGCTCCTAGGACCTGCGCTCACTGCGTCTCTCTCACACCTGCCCTTCTGGGAGCTCCTAGGACTTGCACACACTGTGTCTCTCACACCTGCCCTTCCCGGAGCTCCTAGGACCTGCACACACTGTGTCTCTCACACCTGCCCTTCCCGGAGCTCCTAGGACCTGCGCTCACTGTGTCTCTCACACCTGCCCTTCCCGGAGCTCCTAGGACCTGCGCTCACTGCGTCTCTCACACCTGCCCTTCCCGGAGCTCCTAGGACCTGCACACACTGTGTCTCTCACACCTGCCCTTCCCGGAGCTCCTAGGACCTGCGCTCACTGCGTCTCTCACACCTGCCCTTCCCGGAGCTCCTAGGACCTGCGCTCACTGCGTCTCTCACACCTGCCCTTCCCGGAGCTCCTAGGACCTGCACACACTGTGTCTCTCACACCTGCCCTTCCCGGAGCTCCTAGGACCTGCACACACTGCGTCTCTCACACCTGCCCTTCCCGGAGCTCCTAGGACCTGCACACACTGTGTCTCTCACACCTGCCCTTCCCGGAGCTCCTAGGACCTGCGCGCACTGCGTCTCTCACACCTGCTCTTCCGGGAGCTCCTAGGACCTGCACACACTGCGTCTCTCACACCTGCCCTTCCCGGAGCTCCTAGGACCTGCGCTCACTGCGTCTCTCACACCTGCCCTTCCCGGAGCTCCTAGGACCTGCACACACTGTGTCTCTCACACCTGCCCTTCTGGGAGCTCCTAGGACCTGCACACACTGTGTCTCTCACACCTGCCCTTCCCGGAGCTCCTAGGACCTGCGCTCACTGTGTCTCTCACACCTGCCCTTCCCGGAGCTCCTAGGACCTGCGCTCACTGCGTCTCTCACACCTGCCCTTCCCGGAGCTCCTAGGACCTGCACACACTGTGTCTCTCACACCTGCCCTTCCCGGAGCTCCTAGGACCTGCGCTCACTGCGTCTCTCACACCTGCCCTTCCCGGAGCTCCTAGGACCTGCACACACTGTGTCTCTCACACCTGCCCTTCCCGGAGCTCCTAGGACCTGCGCTCACTGCGTCTCTCACACCTGCCCTTCCCGGAGCTCCTAGGACCTGCGCTCACTGCGTCTCTCACACCTGCCCTTCCCGGAGCTCCTAGGACCTGCGCTCACTGCGTCTCTCACACCTGCCCTTCCCGGAGCTCCTAGGACCTGCGCTCACTGCGTCTCTCACACCTGCCCTTCCCGGAGCTCCTAGGACCTGCACACACTGCGTCTCTCACACCTGCCCTTCCCGGAGCTCCTAGGACCTGCACACACTGCGTCTCTCACACCTGCCCTTCCCGGAGCTCCTAGGACCTGCACACACTGCGTCTCTCACACCTGCCCTTCCCGGAGCTCCTAGGACCTGCGCTCACTGCGTCTCTCACACCTGCCCTTCCCGGAGCTCCTAGGACCTGCACACACTGCGTCTCTCACACCTGCCCTTCCCGGAGCTCCTAGGACCTGCACACACTGCGTCTCTCACACCTGCCCTTCCCGGAGCTCCTAGGACCTGCACACACTGCGTCTCTCACACCTGCCCTTCCCGGAGCTCCTAGGACCTGCACACACTGCGTCTCTCACACCTGCCCTTCCCGGAGCTCCTAGGACCTGCACACACTGCGTCTCTCACACCTGCCCTTCCCGGAGCTCCTAGGACCTGCGCTCACTGCGTCTCTCACACCTGCCCTTCCCGGAGCTCCTAGGACCTGCACACACTGTGTCTCTCACACCTGCCCTTCCCGGAGCTCCTAGGACCTGCGCTCACTGCGTCTCTCACACCTGCCCTTCCCGGAGCTCCTAGGACCTGCACACACTGTGTCTCTCACACCTGCCCTTCCCGGAGCTCCTAGGACCTGCGCTCACTGCGTCTCTCACACCTGCTCTTCCGGGAGCTCCTAGGACCTGCACACACTGTGTCTCTCACACCTGCCCTTCCCGGAGCTCCTAGGACCTGCGCTCACTGTGTCTCTCACACCTGCCCTTCTGGGAGCTCCTAGGACCTGCACACACTGTGTCTCTCACACCTGCCCTTCCCGGAGCTCCTAGGACCTGCGCTCACTGCGTCTCTCACACCTGCCCTTCCCGGAGCTCCTAGGACCTGCGCTCACTGCGTCTCTCACACCTGCCCTTCCCGGAGCTCCTAGGACCTGCACACACTGTGTCTCTCACACCCGCCCTTCCCGGAGCTCCTAGGACCTGCGCTCACTGCGTCTCTCACACCTGCCCTTCCGGGAGCTCCTAGGACCTGCACACACTGTGTCTCTCACACCTGCCCTTCCCGGAGCTCCTAGGACCTGCGCTCACTGTGTCTCTCACACCTGCCCTTCCCGGAGCTCCTAGGACCTGCGCTCACTGCGTCTCTCACACCTGCCCTTCCCGGAGCTCCTAGGACCTGCACACACTGTGTCTCTCACACCTGCCCTTCCCGGAGCTCCTAGGACCTGCGCTCACTGTGTCTCTCACACCTGCCCTTCCGGGAGCTCCTAGGACCTGCGCTCACTGTGTCTCTGCCTGTTGGGGGTCTTCCATTTCCCAGTGCAGAGCCTGCTGCCAGTCCCACTGAGATCCCTTCTGTTCTGTGAAGCCTGCCGCCTGTCCCCCAGCTCCTGCCGCAGCGGGACAGTCCATGTGCCTGGCCAGCATGGCTCCCCACTCCTGCTCCTGTCGGGCACACGGTGCCTTCACAGCCCTTCCTTGCAGTGGGCAGCACTTGCAGGGCTGCGTCACACCAGGAGTGCGGTGGGAGCTGTCCTGGAAGAGCCAGAGGGGCCCGAGGGTGGCCTGGTCCTTGCTCAGCACCCTTCCCGCTGTCACTCACCGTCCTTGGATCCTTTCCTGCTGCGTCGGCCTGCCCAGTCCAGCCCTGCTCACTCCCCCCCACCCCCGAAACCTTTCATTTAAAGAACACAGACGTAATGCATTTCGTAAGTACAACTTTAGGACTATATTGATTCTTCCCACCTGCCGCCCCCCCGCCCCCCCGCCCCTCCACCTCTTCCCTCTCCCTCTCAGTCCCATTCTCCACTAGGATCCATTTTCGATTAACTTCATACACAGAAGACCAGCTCTACACTAAGAATTCAACAATTTGGACAGAACAAAAAACCACAAAAAACAAGAAACAAAGCAAAACTAAAAAAACCCTGTTCCTTAACAGTCGCCCGCTCGTGTTTCTGACCTGCTGTGGGGCAGGAATGGTACAGCATCTCCAGGGGCCGAGCAGAGTCTCGGGGCGGTTGCGAGCAGGAGAGAGGTGCTCCCCACCTCACGTGGAGGGATGGGCACAGGACGTTCTCCCGCTGCTTTACACTGGGGGCTGCGCCCTGGCTCTGTGCCCGGCCTTGCAGCGACCCGTCAGGCTTGCCCTGTTGTGGGCCCTAGAGGATCAACATGCCACGTGTCAAGTGGGGGCGTTAGGGCTTTGTGTGCAGCTGTTTCGAGGGCTGGTTTGACATTCAGTGTTCAGACCTGGCTGCTCCACTTCCCATCCAGCTCTCTGCTGTGGCCCGGGAAGGCAGTGGAGGATGGCCCAGGTCCTTGGGCCCCTGCACCCATGTGGGAGACCCGGAAGAAGCTCCTGGCTCCTGGCTTCGGATCTGCCCAGCTCTGGCTGTTGCAGCCAGTTGGGGAGTGAGCCATCGGATGGAAGACCTCTCTCTCTCTCTCTCTCTCTCTCTCTCTCTGTGTAACTCTGACTTTCAAATAAATAAAATAAATCTTAAAAAAAAAAAGACTCTGTTCTTTTTTTAAATTTATTTATTTGACAGATAAAGTTAGACAGTGAGAGAGGGACAGAGAGAAAGGTCTTCTTTACGTTGGTTTACCCCCAAAATGGCCACTATGGCTGGAGCTATGCTGATCCAAAGCCAGGAGCCAGGTGTTTCCTCCTGGTCTCCCATGCGGGTGCAGGGCCCAAGCACGTGGGCCATCCTCCACTGCCTTCCCGGGCCACAGCAGAGAGCTGGACTGGAAGAGGAGCAGCTGGGACCAGAACCCGGTGCCCATATAGGATGCCGGCGCTGCAGGCAGAGGATTAACCTAGTGAGCCACGGCGCCGGCCCCGAGACTCAGTGTTCTGTAAGTGCCCGTGCCCTGAAATTGACCCCCTGATTTGTCGGAGGCCAGTGAAGATGTCGTATTTGCCCTGTTGTGCTTGGGAGCGCAGTGGGAGCTGAGAAGAGACTTGAGTCCATTTCCTGTCTTCTAGATGAAATTAAACCTCAAGAAGTTGGTTGTGTCAGCCGCTGCTCCCTGGGCCTGGGGGGCTGCTCTGAGGGGCTGGGTGCTCCGGCACAGGCCTTTGTGGAGGGCGGGCTACTCTCACCTGCTGAGGGGTGGCTTTTCCCAGCCGTCCTGTTGGCCTTCACAGGCCCTCTGCACCAGGGGACACTTCTGCAAGTTGTTTTTGCCAGGATTTCTGTGCCGTCCTGTTTGATGTCCTCCCCACCCCTAAACGTGCCCAACCTCTCCCACCGCCCATTTGCTGAAGTGCGTCTCTTGGGTTGGCTGCCTTCTCAGTACGCTCCCTTGGTTGGGGTCCTCCTGTTCCTGCCCTCCTGAGCACACTCTCCATCTCTGCGTCTTCGCGAGACCCCCGCAGACTCTGCCTGGGGATGAGAGCTTCCCTCCAGGGTGGTAGACTCCTGGGAGGCAGTGCTGGCACAGACCCGCTCCCGGCGCTGCCAGGGCCTCTCCGCTTCTCTCGGCTTCCACTGAAGCAGTGCTGCTTGGTCTCCTTTTTTTTTTATTTACATTTTTTAAGATTTATTTATTTAATTGAAAGAGTTACAGAGAGGAAGAGAGAGAGAGAGAGAGAGAGAGAGAGATCTTCCTTCTGTGTTCACTCCTGAAATGGCTGCAATGGCTGGAGCTGGGTTGATCTGAAGCCAGGAGCCAGGAGATTCTTCTGGGTCTCCTATGTGGGTGCAGGGACCCAAGGACTTGGGCCATCTTCTACTGCTTTCCCAGACCATAGAGGAGAGCTGGATCGGAAGTGGGGCAGCCAGGATTTGAACTGGCGGCCACATGGGATGGCGGCACTGCAGGTGGCGGTTTTGCCCGCTGAGCCACAGCGCCAGCCTTCTTGATCTCCTGTGTGTATCACAGGTGCACTCATCTCCCTTTCCCAGGGTGAAGCTGGGGTCATCGTCAACGGCTCCCCCTTGGTCTCCTAGCCTAGTTATGGCTAAAGCTTGTCTTTCAGAAATGTCCCTCCTTCCCTCGTTCTTCCCTCTGTGTCCCAGCTGCCGTCCGTGTTTCCCTCATCCCCCGTGATGTGTCCCGTGTCCGAGCAGGAGACGGTCACCTGAAACATGGCTCTCGCTTCCACCCTGCCAGCTCCCCGTCGCTTCCGGGACAGAGATCAGACACCTGGTATTCCATGCTCTTCATAATCAGATGCCTAATTACTTGTTCATCCTTCTGTTCTGTCCAGATGTGGGAACCTGCCGATTCTGGACTGCTTGCTGTGACTCTGCCAAAACCCTGCATGGCGACGTTACAGTAGATGCTAAGACTAAGGAATTGGATCCCACAATGGAGAGCAGTGTAGTGACCATCACAGTAGAAGTTACAACTCAGGATAGCAAACGTTTTCCTCGCCTGGAATGTGTGCTTCCACCCATGTGGTATCGTCTCAGGGCCACCAGGAAGCCTTCTGGTCCCTGTGCCTCCCGGAGGACCTTGGCTGTGCGCTGTGCACTGACTGGTCACAGGCTTGGGCCACTGGGCCACGCGGGCTTACTATCCCTGTTGTCTTGGCATAAGTGTTGACGTCTGCTTCGAGAGACGCGTCACACAGGCACCTCCCTGTAGGTGACACAGGCCTGACTAGCAGCCAGCTGTGGCAGTGGCTCCCGGCTGACCTGGGACCCTTAGTTCTTGCCCTCTTGCTGGGCAGGCACACTGGACATTGTCCAGCTTTGTCCGTGCAGCGATAGACCAGGAGGTGGGGGTGGGGGTGTGGAGGCTGAGATGAGTGTGGGAACAGAGCTCAAGCCATATAAGTGGAAGTGTCCAGAAGTGTCCTCCCACAGAGGTCAGGGAGTGTTGGCGTCAGTGGGGCTGGGAGTGGCGTGGGCCAGCCAGGCCAAGGCAGGGTCCGTGGAGTCACTTGGTCAGCAGTGCATTGCCGCATAGAGAACCAGGCACTTGGTGTTCTGGACGGCGGCCCTCTGCGGGCGCCAGGTCCAGCCCCATGCAGCAGAACACGCCTGCCTGGGCTGTGGGTTGTGGCCAGCAGGAGGGGTGTGGTCAGTTCTTGTCTGCCCAGGGTTCTTCCTCTTGTTACCCTTGAGCTTTCCTTCTGTGCACGGAATGTGAAGCTGCAGGCGGGGGCTTGTGAGGTGGTGTTGCTCTGCCTTTGTAATTACACTGCATGGCTACTGAAATTAACTGAGCTCATCACAGACAAGACTGTCTCCAGCCTTCCCGGTGTCCTACTCCCTGTCTAGTGGGCTTCTCAGGCTGTGTGACATCGAAGAGAGTGCTTGCTGGCCTTGGAGCCACAGGACGGACGCGGGCGGGGGAGTCCTCAGAGTGCTGGGGAACAGCGCCCGTCCTCTGCATGCCCCGAGGGCTTTCACCCGCAGGAGTGGCAGCTAGGAAGAGCAGGAATGTGGGAGACACCAAGCTGTTGTGGTTGTGCCAGGCTCCTAACCACACCCGCGGATGTGGGCATCCGCTGCCCCAGGTGCCCCCGCGTGAGCGCCTGGTTAACAGTTACGTTTTGGGGCATCAGGACAACCGCACTTGCTCAAGCCAGTCTTGTTACTGATTCTGCTTGTTAAGAAATGGAGTAACCTGCTTCCAGGGAGGGTGGTGGGTGAGACCTTGTGTGTGTGTGTGCGCATGTGTGCATGCATATATGCGTAGCTTAGTCCTGGCATTATAGGAGGCCCAGGGTCTGTCTTCAATGGTTCCTACTGGAAAGCCAAAAAAAAAAAAAAAAAAAAAAAAGAAAACCTCAAGCTTCTAATTTGTTGAAAGGATTTAAATTTTTAACATGAAATAGCAGTAGCCTTTCCTTTAATTAAATGCCACGCAACATTGGCTGTGGGATCAATGGTATTGAAGGAGGGAACAGTGTAATTAGACCTTGTGAAGTGACTAACAAACGATTAGGGCTCTCTGAAGGGTGGGGGAGGAGGGCTGGTTAGGGGGATGCAGATTAGATGCACTTGGCTTTGCTTTGCTTTGAAAGTTGCTTTGAAAGACCTAAAGTTTTCCTGTAGACATTTTGGATCTATTTCTTGGTTTCTTTTAGTAACCTTTAATTTTGTTCCAGAGAGACACAGATTGGAAATAAAGGTTTTATTACTTACAGGTCCTGGTCAGACAGGTGCATAGCATACCTGGAGGCCACACACAGAGGTCAGGGAACCAGTGGAAGGAGAGTGAGCTGAGGTAGCATCAGATTGTGAGAATTTACCACGGCAACAATGGGCA